TGCTACCCTGAGGTATACCCTAGAAATGAACAACCTGATTGCAGATGAGGTGACAGGGAGTGTATTTGCACTCTTCTATTTACTTGCTGCACAATTGCCCTCCAGTCATGCCAGCTCTTTGCAGTACGTTTCCTGACTTTGTCTGTACCACATGCAAATTCAAGTTATTTTGACTGAAGTCAGTCAGCCAGACAGCCTAAATACCACTTATCTGGACCAAGGCTGGCGTAACAACCCTTGATCTTTTTGGAAACCCTAGGTAACACTGCACTGAATTTGGACTGTAAGGCCAAAGCCATGCAAACTTTACAGCAAACAAACAGCTCTATACCCTGTTGTACTGACTAAGTACGGAAATCTACCAATTTAGTGGAAAATACAATCATAGGCATAACATCCAAAGAAACGACCTAAAAACTTAGTTTGAAAAAAGAATATTTCTCAGAAATGCTGACAGATTGGGTTTTTTTAAAGTTATGACTATTTTTAGACACCTTAGTAGCATGCTAACTGCAAGGCTAGCCCTGACTAAAAATACTTTGCAGTTAAATATTACAGTCAATGTTAAAAGTTAATGTTAAAAGTTAAACATATGTTTAAAGTTAAAATGCAACAAAAGGCCAAATTACCTTGTGTAGAACTAACATAGTCTTTCATGATTTTTTTTTCTTTCATATTTGTATTCACTGAACAGCTCCTGTAACACTGTTCTCAGCCCAATGGTTACAATCAAGAGATATATACTAACTATTTCATCCAATTCTTGACAAAAGCAGCGAATGCTTTTCTTTGTCTTGCAAACTTCTACAGCTAACTATAACCCTAACCCTAACCATAAGTATTTTTAAACAAGTTATGCTGCACTATACTGACAAATGTACAGATTGTACAATACATAAGACTTTGAGGTTTTCAACTTTCTAGCTACATAGGCAGCCAAACACAACACATAATGAGAGGATGTTCAGATGATAGATTGCAAAGCCCACAGGATATAGTTCAACTTTACGTCGACAAATGTAGATCTCTCTAATTGTTGACACAATTCTTTGCATCAACTCACATACTTGAATTGAGATTTATAGTAAACTTGTAGTACATCAATGTAATCTCACAGCTGGTTTATGACATGCAGATTTTTCCACTAGCAACACTATTGACGAGTACTTAAACAGCACAAGTTGGTGACAGAGTAAGCTACTGGCCTGGGGAACAGACAGAAAGAGATGTAAGGGGTCAGCCATCAGCTCTCATCACCTCCCAGTCTTCACCACACTTTATCCTTCCAGTTTTCACAGCAACATGGGCATCTGAACCGAACAAACACCCTACTTCTACTCACACACCCTTTAACCGTTAGTGCTGAGTTACTCAAACTCCTCTGCACATACAGATAGCTGAGCCCTCGGGAAGTAAACTGGTGTTTTGCTAATGTCTTTAACCTACACAAGATCAGGGTTTCAACCACCAGGAAACAAACTAGGCATGCACAAAGCATTTCCTTCCATCCAAGGCGACAGAAGCATTTCTCAAGACTCTGAATTTCCATTGAAATTACTCTTTCTCACTTCCACAGCATTTAACTACTCTGTCGTGATGTATTTTGGCATTACTGGCTGCATAACTTATAAATTGGGGAAGTTAAAAATCTGCTGCAGTTGAAGGAAGTACAGTTTATGTTCAAACTGGAACAGAGCTCCATCTGTGGTAGTCCTCTGTGGTAGTTTTCAGTTCCCCTAAAAGTTTCAGTCAGGTGTGAGCTTCTGATTGTACCTTTTATCTTCCACTCAATGCCTCTGTCTTTGGGAATATACCTAGCAGCAACTCAGTTTGCCAAGCTACTGAAGAAAGTCAAAGGAATCTAGTCCACTATTGCAAATTAAATAAAAAATTAGGACATTTCATCAATGCTCCCTGAAGCAAGACCTCGCTGTACATATTTGAGGTTTAAAGAATTCAAAGGACTGCTATATATTTTTCATAATTTCTGCATTAACTGGTTCCTCCACTGTGACTTCATACCAGAGCAAAAAATGAACCTTAGTATCAATACATTTTCTAGAAAGGAGTTTGTCAGTCATGGGAAAAGACCCATATTTCCATTGGCTATGAATGTAGAGAGACAAGAAAGTGGGAACTCCATAACCAAGCACCTCCCCAGTGACATTTTTGAAAGCTCCATAAAGACAAAAGAATATGATGGGTCAGATCTCACAGCAGTCACCTAAATATCCTCAAGGCTCCAGTCAGCTACAGTTAAGTACCTAATTTATTTTGTTATTTTCTCATTTAGATATTCTAAAAGTCTTCCTTCTCCCATAAATCTAGACATTAGGATAAGAACCCTTTAGCAATAGCTCTACTGTTTGAGGAATGTTTCAGCATCAGGACTAGAAATATTTACATGGAACCTTAACTTTCAGAATACAAAGGAAAAAAAAACAAACAAAAACAAACAAACATGCTACATTCCATAGAACACTTGAAAATTTAAATCTGATCTGAATTTAAATCTGATTTTATGCCCTTAATTATCCAGAGACAAGTCATGGGGCTTTCTTTATGTGATTTTTTTTCCTAAATAAAGGTCACAGTAACAAAGCTTCTTGCCATCAATATAAGATTTCCCTTGTAAACTGCTTCCCCCCTCCACAAAAAAACCCCTGCAAAATCCTTCAAGGAGGGTGAAAACACAAGCAAAAGTGATAAACTGCTGAAAGACTTCAGAAAAAAATTCAGCCAGTCACAATGTTAGCTACAGAAAAGATAAGGATGTCCTACTACAGCACCTGAGGGATTCTTATAACTGACTCGTAGCAACTGACTTAATAAGATACAGGTGAGCATTAAATCTGTCACTGTTTTCTCTAGTGGGGATGAGAGAGGTTGAAGTTTTTTTTCTGGACTTATCACTTTTTTTCTTTTACACTTAAGTTAAAGTATTATGAGACAGATATCATATTTTCCACTTTGTGTTTTTACAGCTCTTAATGTGCTGAAATCTTGGTCCACAAAGGCAGACTGTAGGCTCCCATAATACAGAACCAACTGTGGAGCATAATAACCACGCAAACAAAATTAAATCCTTCCTGCCTTCTTTTAAGAAAAGTTTCCAGATTTTTTTTTTCTTATCATCTAGTTTCAGGTGAAGTCTAACTTAAATCCATATAGAAAAGGAAAAAGAAAGTGAAATTAATTTAAAACTTTATTGGCTCTTCTGCAGCAACACTAACATAAAAGATGTCAAAAGGTAATTTTCTACCCACTCTGCCCAATTCCCTCAGCCTTGCAACACTAGCAATGTTGAAATCCAACAAAACCAACTTTACATTGTCTAACAGCTATAAGTACTTTTTTTTTCTTTTTCCTTTTTTTTTTTTTTTTTTTTCCTGGAAAGAATTGTTAGATTGTGCCACTGGTCAGTGTTTTAGTCATTTTTCCTAGAAAAGATTCCGTTGAGAAAAGATGCAATTTAAAGCAGTAGCGTTTGAAGTGCTCAGCATGAAAAACTAAATTACAGAAGCCTGAAATACTATTAGGTCTCATGCATCACCAGTGCTTAGCATATACACATTAAAAAAAAAAAAATTGTGTTTATAATTGTCTGATTCATCCATATTGATATTTACAATGAAGTAGGTGACAGAATCGCATGCTTCACAAGCCTAAAAGAACATTTTAGTTCTTGACAAAATGCCTTAAGAGAATTATGTTTCCTAGGAGTGCATGAAGTGTTTAAAGGCCTGGTGATGAAGCAGGAACAGAAAATGAACACTAGGGACTGGAACTATTGGGGAAGATAGGGAAGAGGAGATCTGAAAATGGACCTGAATGACCATTTCGAAGTGCCAAGTTTCTTGTGCTGCTGGTAGACAAACAGCAACTCATGGGAAAATGAAGATGTGTAAGAAGTACAGCACACCTGGCGTGCTAGGTGTTCTCACCCAGATCTCCCTAACAGTAGCTTGTTTGCACTGAACCAAGTGCTCAGATCAAGTGCACCAAGGGAGAAGTTACCTTTGCACAAAATCTCACTGCAATGGATGTCAAGTCTCTCTGAGGCCTACCAGGATGCTAATAACTACATATGGAGAGACCACATGGTCTCTTTCTTTCTCCTTCCGCAAGAGTTTCACTTCAGTGTAAGTCACCAGGAAGAGTCAGTCATCATGGCTAGGTTTCGCGAACGAAGATTTGAGACCAGAAAGAGTGCCACTTAATATTCTGCCATAAGACTACAAAAGACATCTTCATGAAGGGAACACAAATACAGTTTATAACAACGACACCATTTAGCATCACTTTCTTCTAATTTTAAGACATTTTAATCTTTTTTTTGTTCCCTTTCTTTTAACTATTAACAAGTACTATTAACAGTACTTGCACAAACTCCAAGCTCCAAGCAGAAGGGCTGCATTGCCGGCAAAGCACAAGCCTGAGTAATGACCCGTCAGGAGCGCTCCTCTAGCCCCGCGGCACAGCCCTCTGCCTCTGCAAGGCTTGTTCGTCAGTGGAGGGGGTCGCAACACATGAGCGGATTGCTTCTGGCAAAGTATTCCCGGGACTGTATCACTGGGCTTCTTCAATTTAAGATGCAGTGCCTTGCATTGCATGCAAAGCGGAGTGAAACCTTCCATTTAATTGCAGAGTTTGCAGAAGTGCCCATCCCTGATGCAGAGGAGAGTGATTCACCAGGAAAGCAGCGATAACATCGGCCCAGGGGCCCGGCGCACCAGGCCCGGGCTCGGTATTTACATCGGTGACTTCTATAATCTCCCTTCCTCCCGCTGACATGCTCACCTCGGACCTGGAACAGCACGGGGAGCGCTTCCAAACACGGCGGAGGTGCGCGTCCTACCCTACAATTCCACACAAGCTGCTGTAAAACACCCGCTGTAGGCCCCGACTCGCTTCTCAGAGCATCGCGGCCGGCGCCCGGTTCAAAGCCCCGGCACCGGGGGTGTCCCGGGACGGGTGCAGGGGGAAAGGGGCTGGTGCTGTCACGACCCACAGCGCTCCAACACCGCCCCCGCCGAGGCCCCGGCTCCTCCACCGCCGGCACCCGCGTCCCGCCCGCAGCCGCCCCGCTCGCCCCAGGGCCGGGCACCGGCCCCGAACCCAGCGAGGGCCCGCGGGCGGCTACAGCCCTTCCCGCCGCCCTCTGACGGGCTCCCCGTGCCTGGCAGCCCCTTCCCCGGGGGCTGGCCGAACACCACCCTGGTCACCCTTTCCCCGGCGGGCGGGCGGACAGCGAAAACCCCCCACACCCCTGAGGGGCTCCGGCTGCTCTTACCCGGCCCCGGCGAACCGGCTCGCAGGGGCGCGGCGGGGGCGGTGGCGGCTGCAGGGCGTGGAGGGGCGGGGAGGACCCGGCCCGGCCCGCCCCGCCGTGACGGCGAGGGGAGGTGCGATCCTGCCTGGCCGGTGCCAGAGCAGGGCGGGCCGGGGCCGGGGTCGGGGCGGCACCGGCAGAGCCTGCGAGGGGACCCCGCTACTGGTGGGCCCGGGGGCGTCCGGGGGGAGAGGGGCAGCTCCGGCAGCCGCAGCCCTGTGCGAGTGGAAAAAATGGGGGTAGGGGAGAGTGTAATTTAGGGAATAGATACTGTTGCATCCGGAAGTAAGGGGGAAACATGAACAAGGAAACGATATTGCAGAGAAAAACACGGAGTTGCTGCGTTAATACCCTGCTTTGCAGCTCCGCCTTCAGCTTGGGTCGTTTCTTCTCCGAACGGGAATGGACGCCTCAAAGAAAATGAGTGGGAAACTGTAGATCTATTTAGAGGTGCCTTTAAATGCAGAGACGCACGACGTACAGCTGGGAGAGGGGGCAAGCGATGCCAGGAACACGAGGAATGAAGGCAGCGTTCACAGGGCTGCCAGGACCGGGCTCGGGAGGAGGAGGAGGCCGCATGTGGCTGCCAGGGCATCAGCCCCGGCACCAGGGCTCCCCCTGACCCAGCCACCTGAGCAGGAGCGACAGGTGAGGCCCGAGGCTCACCTCAACCTGCGCGGCAGCTGGAAGCTGGAGCTTCCGCATGCTCCCCACTTCTTCAAAGGGAAAATGACAGGGCCAAATGCTCCCTAGAGCCCCGGGGCTGGGCTGCTTCGTCTGCAGGATACCCCCCGTGCACATTAAATACCACAGAGCAAACATCCCACAGCACCCGGTTGCTGGGAATGCTGCCTCCTCTGCAGAGCCTAGCCTCACCTAGGTAAGAAACGCAGAATTTGAGAAGTGCAAGTTTGTTTCTGTTTCATCATAGATCTTGGTGATTACTAAGATTTAGAAATAGGTGGAGCAGTGGAAAACTTAATAGGCATCCTAAACAAATAATAATAGAAAAGTCCATTAAACTACCAACACGATGGAGTGAAGTTAAAGATCTGAAAAAAACAATGTGGGGAGCCGAAAGCCTGTCTGTCATGAGATGTGGAAGTGTGAAGAAGAAGTCTGTGAAACTTCCAAAACTTACACATTCACTACCTTCAAGTGATTACCCGAGCTATGTGGACTTATGTTAAACTATAAGCTTTATATTGTTGTATTCTGTACCCTTGAAATATACCCATCCTTCTTTTGTCAATTTTATGAGGGGTTCCCTATATTTAGAACCCTATGTTAACCCCCCTTTTACCTGTGGCCACGTTGCAGTGTACCTTATTTATTAATATTTATAATTATTATATTTATTACATGTTATATTTATTACATATTTATTTATGCAGTTATGTCCCTTATGTAGTCATTTCCATATATTGTTAGCACCACCCCCATTTTCCTTATACCTGGTTGTTATGCTCCTCCCTTGCTCCGCCCACTTTGTTCCGCCCACCTTCCCTCAGAGCCCTATAAAAGCCGGTGCTACCCTGGAATAAAGGACCCTTTTGCTTCACCCGAACTCCGTGGTCAGACTCATTCTTCCCTCGGGCTATGACAAAACAAGACTACTCTACATGGTTCTCAATGAGTCTCAAAGCATGCCGAAAAGAAGAGTCAACCTAACCTGCAAGACTTTTATGCCTACAAATAGTTCTTATGTTAACTGATGCTTGGAAATGTCATTTTCTCACTCTGATGAATTAAAATTACTAGGGAAAAAAAACATTCTGATGTGCCTTTTTGTTGCAGGAATGTTGTATACATAGTTGATCTAGTTTTAATAGAATATAAGCAATGATTTTAGCATTCTGTCTGTGCAGGTGTTTTCCCCATGCTGTTGACATTCCAAAGCTGATCCAAGATGATCCCACTAGATGGTGCACTAATGAGAGTATAATGCAAGTTCCTTCCAAACTAAGGCCTCGCCTTGGTTATTATCCTAAATGTTTGCCATATAAACTCCACTGATTGAGCCCAATCACTCTTGTTTTATAAAACTTCAGATGAGATCACTGTCAGCTTTTTTTTCCAGAGAATAGTTTACTATATGAATTCAAAAACGTATTTCCCACACAAGAAGTGACCCTTCATCAGTGAGAATAGTTTATCTGCAGATAGGTACGTTTTTTTTTAGGCTTGGAAGTAATACACAGTCATCACTGATCAATGTTCATTCTCATTCTATAGAAAGGAGATATCCAAATGTTTTCCTAGCAATGCTGGATGTTCTATGAAGACAATGCTTGTCCTCACCTGCTGTTAGCTCCCTTGTCATCAGCATCCGCCTTTCATTATTAAATAAGTAAAAATCTTTGTAATACGATTATTTAAAGTAACCAGTTACAGAAATTATGTTACAACCTCAGAGAGAAACATGGATTAAAAATCAAACTTTTCACTGAAATGCTGTTTGTACTGTAAAAATACTTAAGTATCTTTTTAATATAATCATAAAATAATTATGAAGGTGCAGTTACTAAACTATTGATCAGATTTATTGATCAGATACTGCTAAGAGCATTGTATGCCCTCAGAAATTTTTTGTTAATTCCTATATAAAAGCCATTGACTGGGAGAACATGCCCTGTACATTTTTAAATGAAACGGGAAAATTCCATCAGTTTCTTCTACTAGCAGTGGTATATTGACAGGCATTGTGAAGAAGCCATCTCCAAGTGTTATCATCAGAGCTGCTGAAAGGGAGTGCTGCTACACAATTGTGTCTCTAAGTGCATTTCACTGGTTTCCCTCTGGACTTCCCACAAGAGCATTACCTGGGGATTGAGTTCAGAATCATATATTCATTTACCTTTCCTGTTTCTTATGGAGCATAATCAGATTTCAAATGATAAAATGAAATGGGGAAAGCTCTGGGGAAAAAAAAAAGGGGGAAATGTTGAGACCCTGCTATGCATAGTCACAGTGTACCATGGAGGATTCTCTGGATATTTACTGACTGAAGGTCAGTATCTGCCAATTATAGTAACTGGGTGTAAAACTGAAAAGAAAGGAATGTCACTTCAACCACGTGCTGTTTGAGAATACATGCAAAGTATGGTGTATAATGTCTGAAAGAGCTAGAAGTTAAGCCGCATCAGCATGGTGTGATTTTGAAAGAGCACACCTTCCTCCTAGCCCAGTATCCAGATCTGCCCCACCTTCCTGACGGTATTTCTGCCTCCCACCTCCTACCTTGGCCCCAAATCAGCAGACGCACAGGCCCAGCAGCGTGGGTGGCACAAGCATTGGGGCCACTGGTGATGCAGAAATGAGGCACTCATTTCCGTGCAGCTCCCCATGCCTGCATGGTGCATGATGAAATTAAGGGGAAGCAGCCCAACCCTGGCCTCATATTCCTGATGAGTATCCTCTTTCCAAGGCATGAGCAAGTGCGTAAGTCATGTGTAATTTACCCTATGGGCCAATTTCATTCTCTGCCATCACATTTCACTTGCACATTTTTAGCTTTAGATAGGAAGAGCAGTGTTGCTGGTATTTGGTACTGATGTCAAACTGTCTGGTAGAGCTTCCCAGGTGGTTCCCCATCAGCAACAATTCCTGTTATTGTCATCATCTCTGTTTGATAATTTAATAGAAACATCCGCTCCAGACTCTGAAATGAGATTAGGTTCCTAATACACCTAATGCTGTACGTAATTATGATGGATGATGGTTTCTAGCCTGAACAATTTTATGGGTTCGTTATATTGCAGAATGGTCTGTAAAACCTAACTGTTAAAAAAAAAAAAAAAAAAAAAAAAAAAAAAAAAAAAAAAAAAAAAAAAAAAAAAAAAAAAAAAAGAATGACAATTTGCATGTTATTTAGGCCGGTACTTGCTCTCCAGCAGCAATTAACATAGTAGCCTATGTTTTTAATAAACAGAGAAAAATTCTGTTCCTGATATTAATAATGTTTCCCCCCAAAAAAAAGTTTACTACCAACTTATTTTTAAATATTTATTTGCTTTTCTGTTTAATTTTCAAACATATTATACTTTTATAGGCATTAGTGAAATGAGCTGATGTTATTATTTCAAAGCCCAGTCTTTAAGTAGTATCTGCAAATACATAATTCCTCTAACTTCAGCCAGACCATTTTGAAATAATAAACATTTATAAAGGGCATAAAATTAAATGGCAATATTTTATGCAGATAAAGAAGTACAAACCTAGAGAAGAAAAAATATTAAAAGTAAGAGAATCTGTGGACTTTGAGGTCAGCATCTGGCTCTAAAAGAATCCAACAGATCTTCATTTGGAAAGTGAGGTCCTTGTTGAGCAATTAGTATTTTTCACTTTACAGTTCCTCATCATCTTCCCCCTAGTCTTAATTTTCAATTCATAATTACCTGCATTGCTTTTTGAAACAATGCAGAATAAAAAAATTAAAATAAAAATAAAAAAAACCCCAAACCATAAAAACCACACAAAGGGATCTTGACAGAATTTGGCTAGGTAAATGAAACAGATAGCAAAGATAAGGGGACAAGGGGAGTTACAAAGATGAGGTAAACGTTGTTTCAGGATATTTGCAAAATTGTGGTCTCAGAAAAATCTTGGCTACTCCCAGAATTTTAGCAGCTTTTCCTGCTCAGTTGTATTCTCTGCCATTGTGACTGTACTCATCAATACTCTGGGTTCTGCTTTTCCCTCTCTCCAGTATTTGTCCTGCTATTTAGCCAAAAAGGAGATCTAGAAATAGTCACAAGATGTTGTGGCACAGTGCTTATACAGCAGCATAGATGGTGGTCATCCACTGCAGGAACAAGGTTCATCCACCTCCATTAAAGAAAAGTGTAAAGACAGCCAATTGAATGCGTTCATGGCATATACCGTCTGTGATCAGTTGAGGACTGGTAGAAGATATCTCAAAAAACAGCTAGAAACTCAGTGGATGTTCCCATTCTCCATGGATTTGGCTGCAGTGAGTTCAGAGTAGAAGGTGTCAGTGGAAGATGTCAAGATGTCACTAGGACAGACTCAGTTTGTGACTTGCAGATTTCTACATGCTTAAATGTCAAAAATTCTGTTATTGCTTATCCATGGATAAGCATCTAGTGCCATTTAGGATGCCCAGATGGGTCTGATATGGCTCTCAGCTGCTGGTTCATCAGTGCTGTCTCTGTAGATATCTCAAGTTCCCTACAACACCTTAGGTGGCACTAAGCAAATTATTCATATCCTCTAAATAGCCACTGACTACAACCTGAGCTTAAACAGCCATTCCAGCTGTAGCTGTAATCAGGACTTAGACACTTACTATAATTATAAACATCTACCTGTACATATTAAATTTAAGAGTCTTAATCTCAAAACTCATCCCACAGTCTAGGTCTTCCAGTATGCACCACAGCTTTCCTATATATTTCTGTGGTAATTTGACACCTCAGCTTTTATAAGAATCCTATTCTGCCTTTTAGTCTTTAGCCTGATGCCTTGGGTTTGATACCCTTATTACAGAAAATCTACAGCTGCATGCAGAAGGGGATCAGGTTTTTACCTTCTGCTACAGCATGAGTAGACAGAGGAATAGTAGAAGCACCTTTGGCTTATGTTCTGAGAAACAATGAATATGGCAAACTGGACACTGGAAGAATGAAGTGAGACTGAATTACACTCCTACTCCAGGCATAAGACTTCACAAGTGTCACAGTTTAAAACCATCAACATTTTATGGTCGCTGTCTATTCGAGACATCCCCAAAAATGTCATATAAGCCCTCCAGTTATATGCTTTAGCTTTAAATATTTTGAATAACCAATATTTTTTCTGACCAGGGTCTTAACATTAGGGACACAACCAAAAAGGATTTGAAATAAGCACCTGTCTGAACAGGCTACAATGTCCCAAAGATGTTGCTAATTTGTACTAGCAAAGGAAACTGTTCTTGCTGTACAAAAACATAATAATAAGATAAAACAGAGGGAAAAGAGTTTTACCCTTTGTTTATTGCATATATAAAATATGTAGCTGCTACAACAATCTCTGTGTTGCACTGGTTTCCTACAAAATATCTACTGTGAAATTGCTTTGTCTACTTCTTACACATGTAAGGCCTGATTCAATTGCCTGCTGCATGCAGTGAAAAACTGACCACTTTTTTTAGTAGACTGTGAAGCATCTGTTGGTCTCTTGCTGTTAGCTGCATTCTTCCTGTAGGTGTTTTTTTTTCTAGTGTTTGTCACTCAGAAAATATACAATGACTATGCAACAGAATTACTTTTCTTAAGAGGCATTAAAGATTTGAACAACTTTCAAATATGATAGGTTTACACAACATTAACAGAAAAAGAAGACCTAATTATTAGTTTTATTTGTATGCTTGTTAATTTTGTATAGAGATACTACAATTTTTTTTCCTGATAAAATGCTCATAATAGTGAGGTAGAAAATAACTCTCTTATAAATAGTACAAAATTTTACCATGTAACTCACTGCTGAACAAAGATTTTAAGAAAGATCCAACAAGTAAGACAAGTTTCACAGCTTTCCTGAACCAATGGTAGGAAAATACATAAATACACAGTATGCAGGATTGCAGACCGAACTGAAGTAAGCAAACGAAATTAGGAAAAAACAGAGCTGGAGGGGTAATGAAATCCAGAAGTCTGACTGTGATTGTGTCAATAGAAAAAGGCAACAAACACAAGATATGGACTCCTACATCTACACCAATAGTCTTTGCTGCTTTCCTTTTGTTCTTGGATGCCCCTTTATGTAGCTGAGACACAATACTCCTACTCATGTTGTTTATCATCCTGACTTGCTGATGCCAGCCTGCCCAGATTCCTCTGCCCCACTTCCCAACCCCCCCCCAACATCAGCCCCCAGCTCTGCACACATTACTTGTTGGATTCACTTTGTATTTTGTCCCCTCTCTTCCGGTCACAGAAAAAGATATCAGTTTATGATTAAGAGAAGGCTCAAATAAGGACAACTTACACCCATATGCTTTGGAATAAGATGAACTTTTTAACATGTATTAACTTACAAAGTTAAGAATGCAATCACAAAATTAAAAAATGCTCATCATACTCAAGATATTCCTTCTCTTTACCCTCCCTCCTTCAGACAAAACTGGTGGATAGTCTCAAACTGAAGTTTCATTGAATGTACTACGCATCCCAGTAATCCACAGGAAAACATACAGAAAAACAGAATAACTGTGTGCTATCTGATATGGTTCAATCTGCAATGAAATCATGCATGGCCAATGGCTTTTTTTATTGAAAGTCCTGCACATAACTTCTAAGATCTAAATACCTCTAAGTAACCTCTGAGTCTGAGTTCCTTAAAATAGAACAAAGTGGTTTCAAAGGATTATTGATTTCCTAAGAGGGCCATCATCAGTGCCCCTTTGCTGTGCATTTTTCCCTCACAGCTTCCAAAAGAGTCAGTCTAGGATCTTTAAATAGAATGCAATAGTATGAGAAGGCTGTGGGCTTACTAAAATGACCTACACAGAGCTAGCGCACCCAGATCCCAAATCTTCCATCACGTGTATTACAGCCATGTAGCCTATAGTGCAGGCTTTTGCCCTCTCTCGTAGTAGTGAGAAGTGGTCATCTCTGAAAAAGTTGGTGTACTGTAGATGAGTGTTTTATTGTTACTGCAGAGAGGTGGGAATGTTTGTAGAGTAAATATTCACTCAGTTCTGTTTAAAATTTTGCGAAGTGTAGCACACCCCACCTCTGAGATAGGGGGTCTCCATAGGGTGTGGTGTGTATTTTTTCTTCATATTTCATGCACAAAAAGCAACATTTGACCCTAAGCTTTGTAACTATGGAAAATTCTAGTCCAAAGCACTCACAAGAAATTCTTCCACCTGTTGCATCCTACTCTTGTGTAACTTTTGCTTTTATGTTTCCCTGCTTTTAATTACATTGGACTGTGTCCTGTCCATTCAAATACTCATATAGGACACACCTATATGACCGCTTTTAGAAGCAATACCTCTGTAAGTTAACTGTGGCAACTTAAACCATGTTAAAAGTGGAAGAGAATACAGAGAGGAAAGAGCTCACTGGCATCTCCATCTATAGCATCTTTGTCCAAATTACTCAGATGAAGGATTAAAGAACGATTAAAAGAGGATAATTTAGTTCAGAAAATTGATAAAAAGAATAAATTCATATATTTTGTCTGTTATCTTTGAAATTACCAACTCATATTTATTTCAATCTAGGACTGTCTTAATACAAACTGAAATGTTTTTCTTTCAATTTATTGATCTTGTTATCCTTTTATTGTTTCATTTTTTTTCATTTATGGCAAATTTGCAATTATTAATCTCATAAAAAAGTGAAAAATCCCAGCAGTTCCTTGTCTTCAGAATATTCCCTCTCATCAGCTTTTTTCTGTCCAAAATTTTTTCTGATAAATCACTTTGACCCCAAAGTGCAGTTTGCAGTGAACTTAGTGTTTAGTGACGAAGCAGAGGAATTGCAAAAGATGTGACAGAAAACATCAAAATACACACAGAAAAAAAAGTTGAATAGTCGAATGTGACCTCCTCTGGTTCAATAGTTCCCTGCAGAAGAATTAATTAATAACAGGTGTTAAAAGTAATCCCAAGACTGCAAAAGAGTTCTGGAGTGACAACCAATACAGTCCTTCCCCAGAGCTCCCAATCCACTTTGCTGTTGTTTACAGTGAGGAAAACACAAGTCAGCTGGGAATAATCTAACCAAAACAAGTGATGTTGCACTACTGGTAGTGTTACTTGAATGAGATATTGATTTCTGCTAAATTGCCACAAGGAGAAATAAAAATCACTATCACTATTATTATGGGCTGATAAAAAGTTATCAGCCCATAATATTAGAAAAGTCAGATGCACTGAAATGTCCTGCATCACCAAATAGGATCTCCTTCCTTCTGTACTCACACACTAGAGGAGCTGCCTGGCAGCACCTAGCTATCACATTGGTGCCCTGACTGTGGGAAAGTAACCACTTTCTTGATTGTGCAGTGACCACTGGGAAGACAAAACTGAAGTTTTGCCCAAGCAACCTTTGACAAACATGATGAGTTTTTTTTAATTTATATTTGAATTACTACCTTTTTTTAAATCTACCTTTAATTCCTCTGAGGGAATGCACCTACTTCCCTAGATGATAACTAATTTTCATAAGCAGTGCAGCACAGCACATAGAGAGATGGGCAGTTGTTCAGAGACCACACCATCATACCCTAAATCAACCCACATTTAAAATATTTTTCAGCTAAAGAATGAAAAATTACCTCTATAGCAGCAGGCTGAAGTTGGTTTCCCAGTGCCATGTCTGGAGCCCTGTTAGTAGATAAAGATGATGGAGTATTTTCAGCTGGAAAAAGTTCTTGGTTCCATTCTGATCTCCTGGTTCATTTTGAAAATTTAATTAATAGATTGGGGTGACTAGAATGCTAATATTCAGGCAATGATATCTAAATAATTACCTCATGCAACTTAAACATGAGTTTTCCTACTGGCTTTTGGACACAATGGTTCTTCAGTGTTGTGGCCATTTAGCTTGTGACTCTGTACACACAGCAGAGAATCAGGATAATGTATCCTGTATGCGCTGTCAGTTGTCATTTCCTAGAATACAGCACATTTCTTAGGATATTGTAGTATCTTGCTGTATGTAAGTATACTCATAGGTTACCTGTTGCTGTATGTGACACTATAAGCAAATACTGAAAAGATAAAAGAACCTATATAACTATTTACAAAGTTTTCTGAAAGTAATTCCAGGAGTTGCTAATTAATGTATAATGAATATGACTACATAACCAAATTTTTACAGGAAGGCAGTAGAGTACACTGAAAATAGCAGTCTGAATATTGCACCCACAATGACCATTTTCAAAAGTTTTCTTGAATCAAATGATAAAACAAAGCACAAATTATTGGTTTGCAGGCAGAGCTGAAATAATCCCTCTGGAAGGTGGCATTGGACAAGTCCTTAGGTGCTGAGAAGCTAGTAAAAATATCAGTCATTGGAGAAAGACAGTCAAGAACACCAACAAAACCAACCAAAGAACCACCACCAACAACAAAAAAAGCAAATAAAAATTAAAAAAAAACAGTTAGTATTTAACATTGAGAAAACCATGCTAAATGTGAACAAGAATAAAATTGATGAGGGCTCTCTCTAAGAAGATTACTTCTTTCATAGGGATGGTAATTTTGGTGATCTAAAGCAATCAGTCAAAGATGGTATAATTACAATCAAGAGAGAGAAATCCAACAGGAAGGTGAGGTGCTACACACAACTGCATCAAAAGATGTGTAGAGTTTGAAGGAGAAGAGCCTCAAGGTACCAGCATGATATAATGCAGCTAGCTGTGACATGGGCCATAGCATAACACTGAGGAAAAGTCAGTTTTGACCACGAAGTAAATCAGAAACTTAGTGAGAGAGTGGATATCTGGATATCTGGAGATGATGGATGGAACCGCTCACAGACATATTTCCCCCCATTTTGTAGAGAGTAGTTCTACCCATGCACACAGCACAGGGGCAAAACCCATCCATTTGTAGGCACTGAAATCTTAACAAAGTCAAGCCAATACTACACCAGATGTGACCTCCAGAGGGTGGATGAAATCATGATTTGGCAACTTGAGGTATTCACCAAAGTATTTCAACAGAGTCAGTCCTAGGGAAGAAAATCAGACAAAACAAAATTACTTAAACATTGAAGAACAAGATCTACTGGGGAGAATTTTCTTGAGAAAAGAACATCTTTTAGTATACAACACCTCCTTTGAGGCAAACCTTGCCTCTTCTAATTTATTTAAAACATATCTTTATGTCTTCAGAAGTGCTTTTAAGCCATCATGATTACAGTGTTACATCAGGTCTAGAGACAAATGTGAAAGTCACAAGTGCTGTGACAGTCACTTCTGTCACTCAACATCTGATCTGAAGGATGAGGGAACAAAATCTGGCTCTTAGCTCTGCTGATGTCAGGTACCTGAAGTGTCAGTGCACTTCAGTCACAGCACAGGCTCTGAAATTAAGGGTCTAAGGGCAGAATCCCAATAACAGGGTGGGGGACAGTTCTGGGGGCGGCTGGTGGCTGAGGCCAGCAGCCTCCCTCCCAGCTGGCATCATCTGCAACCTGCTGCAGTGACAGCCTCTGCTTGCTGGCATGAAGCAAGAGAAGGCTGTGCCAAATCAGAGTGAAAAAATTTTGTTGCCTGTTTTTATATCCCTTCTTGCCTCAGAAGGCTCCCTTCCTCTGCCTCTAGTCTGCACCCCAAAGCACTACCAGATTGCTTTTTTGTGTGTGTTTTTAAGTATTCTTTCTTTATTAAAATCTAAAGTTGCTTTGAGTGTTCTTTTTTCTCTGTTCTGCATTTTGGTGGAAATGTGGAACTAAAAATGAAAGTGAACACAGTCCTTTCTTACAAGAAAACCTGGAATGTTCTTTGTATACATATAGATAAAAAGATTCGTGGTTGTCTTTTGAGAAACTGCACATCCTTTTCTATGTCAGTGTTCTCTGTAATGCTTCATTGATGCTTTGTTGCTGCTGCAGCCATGAAGCCAGACACACAACTCATCCAGAGGGAAGATAATTTGATTACTTTGGTATATTACTATTACAACTGTATGTAACCTTTTCTCAGGAGTCTCTTGTAACAATTACTTTAATTTACTTAGTTTTAACTAAAGATACTTAAAATGTTGTCTTTTTTTGTCAAAAAACATCGTAATTGAAAAATGGATGCTGGTATTGAACAGTAGTTTTTCTGAACTTATCTGAGTTCTTTGACATATTTTAATTTTGAATAGAAAAATTAATGCCTTTAAACCAAAGTTTTTAATTTAAATCTTGAAGGATTAATTTTGGAACTTCATGCTAAATATTTGTTAAGTGCGCTGCAGTATTAAGGTGTAAAATAAAAATCAGCAGAGAACTTGCAAAATTTAAAAAATCCGTTTTCAAAGTTTTCAGCTGATGTTTCTACAACTCAAACTTTTTTTTTTTTTTTTTACCCCTGTCTTAATATAAGACTGTTGACTTTTTTGTTAAAGCTGCTTTTGCCTGTGGACTCCACAAGAGGGTAGGAAATCCTTTCTCAGTGCTTAGGCTGTGACAGAAAAGATTAAAAGGAAAAAAATAGTGAATGTAACTATTCTGATCACGAGCAGTCATTGCAGATATACCTGCAAGTTCCTGAACTGCAAACAATTAAAGAGTAAAAATATAGCACTTTTTAAAATAAAAATCAATAGCTTTGAAGACAGCTCTGAATGAGGCTGTTCAAGGTGTTACAAGAGGGAGATTGAGTGTGGATTTCCTGGCTGGAATGCTCTAAGGCATGCCTTGCTGGCCTACATGTTCAACCTGTGATGCTCCAGAAAGGAAAAGGACCATGGAGGTGCTCTCAGACTGAGGGGCTTGCCTGGATGTGGAAGCTTTTACTCCCTCCTGAAACCAGATTTGGAAATATATCCTCTGCGAGCAACATTAGCTTTTGCTAGAATTATTCACAGCAATAGAAGATACTTCTGGCTGCTTCTCTGAGGAATAAGAACATCATCTGGATTTGATATAGACCAGAATTCCTGTTAAAAGATTTCACTGTGTAGTGTGGAAAAATAGATTAATATGTAGGCATGTGTTTCAGAAAAGAAAAAATCAACACAAACTTACCTTGATATAAAGAAGAAGAAGAAATTAAGAGATCTGTAGTACTTGCAACTGAATCTAAGTGATGTATCCCACTGAGCTGAATGTCAGGTTCTCCTGGCACCAGCAGGTGTGGTCACAAAAACATTCCCTTTTATTCCCTGGCCACTAAGTTGTCATGTAAAATGTATGCAAAGGTTGCTCTCTGCTTCACCGGTGTCCAGAGAGCTGGTCCCCAGGAATGCACTGCAGATTAAATCTAGAAAAACCTGAGGCAAGAGTACAGGCTCTAAAAATCAGGCTAGGCTGTGTTAGAGGTGCAGCTCTCCAGAGCTGAGTCACTGGCTGCAAGCAACCTGCTGCTCAGTTTTCTTGCTCTCCCTGAGCACTGCTCCTGCTGCCCTCCTGTTTAATCCAGGGGTCTCCCTTGGCACGCGTTGAGCAATGGTATGGGACAGTGTATTATCCAGCTTCTAGGTGCCTAAAGACTTCGTTGCATCCAGCCCTGATCTGTCTTTTCAGATAATTGTGCACAGAGAAAGTACTTGTATCAACTTAAAGTCTTTGGGGGTTATGTTTCTATTGTGAAAGGCAAGGGCCTTACGCAACACCTCAGACAAGTCTGTGTCTTTCCAGCTCCTTGCTGTCTTAAGTGTTTCAGAGTTGGTGCACAGCTGGAATTCTCCAGATCCAAAATAGTATGTGTTACAGATCCACAAAAAAGTTCTCAGCAAACAAAACAAGCCGCTACCACTGGCACGGCATGCTAGTAGAGCTGTGATAAGTCCAGAAGTGGACAAATGTGGATGGCTTTGTGGTAGTCACTGTTTGATAAGGGTAGAGTATACACTGTATGCCTACCACAAAAAGTAAATCAGAGGTACAGTTCACCATAAAAAGACTACAGTGGCTGCATTCAGTAATGACAACTCAGTCAAACCTACGTTAAGCACATAACTAATGTGAAAGCTAACAATGCCTCTTTCTGACTTCAGAGGGATCTCAGTATGGCAAGGACCTCAATCAGAGGTTCCGGTTCAGTGTGACAGTGTGGTGGGTTGTCAGAAAGCATATTTTATAACAACTGGTGCCTGACATCTAAGCAAAGATAGAACAAGCACATACTTGAGTATGAGCCTCTTCTTCCTACATACTCCTTCTCAAGTATGAAGCACACAAGAAATAAGGGCTGAAAACCTTATTCTATTATTTTCAGGAAAAGGTCAACTTCAAGCCAAAATTACACCCCCATTCTCTTTGCTTGGGAATAACAGTAGCCTATACATCTGCTCCCTTTATGAAGGATGACAAAGACTAATATAAGCCTGGATGTATTCAGTTTAGGATTATTAATGGTGAATCCTAAGAAAGATTAGCTGCATGCATACAAAATGAGGTGAAATACTGAGTTTATGGGCTGCATGTAAATAATTTCTGAAATTAAAAACACACCCAAATCAATGCATTAAGGGTTTCTAGAAAGACTCATACTTCTGAAACACTATCAAGGCATTAAGTGTGAAAACAAGTGATAGATAAATATCATATAAAATTAGTCTGATTTATTAGAGGAAGTTTTGTAGAACTGATAGGTTAGAGATAACTGATTTATTAGAGAAAATTTGACAGAACTGACTCAGAAAATTCATATTATACATTTCAGGGTTTTACTGAACCACGAATAACCAGTAAGCCACTGTTTTTCTCATTTCTAGAGCTACTGTCACTAATAGAATCTGTTACTGTGACTGATCTTCAGGTAAAAGTTCAATTGTACGAAAATGTTTGTCAAATATTTTGCCCTTTAAGATATATTTAAATGTTTTCCGAAACCATGGATAGAAAAATCCATATATTAATGAATTGCAGAAAGAATTTAAATACCCAAGCCAGCTTACAAAATCAAACAGAGATAAAGGAACAGAGAAATTTAAAAATGGATCAATTAAGGTTGCAAAAAACCAAGGAAACCAACATATAAAGAAACCCAACATAACAATACTCAGTGTCTTAGCAGCTTTCTTATCTTTTTTCTTAGAAGGCTCATGTTTCTTAACAGTTTTTGAGTGCCTGTGTGCCTGGCTCAACTCCCATGTGTGCCTTTGGGAGACTGTAAAAACTTTAACATAAATTCCTATCATAATGCAAACAGGAGCCAAGAAACCAACTGTAAATAAAAAAGCCCCCCACAGTTTGTTGAACACAATAGGGCACGAGCTCAAGCATTTAACTAGCTTTTCATAGCCCTCAATTCCAGAAGCATAAACTTCCGAGAAAACCACACAAAAAGCAAAAGCAGCAGGCACTGACCAGCAGACTACTACAATTTGTTTTATGGCTGTAACAGTCATAGTGCTGGTGTAATGCAGAGGGTGGCAGATTGCATAAAATCGATCCACAGCAATGGAACAAAGATGGAAAATGGAAGCTAAACAGAGCATCAAGTCAAAACTGTAATGAACTTTGCAGAATATAATCCCAAAAACCCAGCATTTCTCTACAGACCTCACCATGCTGTAGGGCATAATGGCAAAGCCCAGAAGGAAATCTGTGCCCGCCATGGATAAGATGAGGAAATTGGTTGGAGAATGAAGCTGCTTGAAATACGAGATGGAAATGATTATGGCCAGATTCCCTAAGATGGTAAGAATGAAGACTGCTGTTATGAATAGATACAGTACCTCTTGTACTCCTGCTGACCTAAAGCTCTCTGGACAAGGTCTGTTTCCAAACTCAGAGCAACCAGTCAAATCCCTCGAGATATTTGGAGAAAGCATAGTCAATCCTTTATTAGGATTTTCTTTTAGAGATGCAGTTCCATTGGCAGATTTAATTCTCACAAGTTTCCAAAAGGTTCCAAATCCTAACATGAGAATACAGAATAAAGTAAGTCAAGCCCATGCACTCAATTACTATATGAAATACAGTAATTCAGAGGTGAATTTTCTCTTGCCTTAAATAGGGACTAGCTACAACCAATTATTCTTCTGAAATGGTACATGAAATCTAGTAACTGGAAGCCATTATAAACTTAATTGCAAGTAATATTTAAAACAAAGCAGTTGAATGTAAACTTAATTACCTCTTAAATTAACTAAATTATCATGGAATCACAGAATTAGCCAGGTTGGAAAAGACCTCTGAGATCATCAAGTCCAACCCTTGATCCACTACCTCTGTGGTTACTAGACCATGGCACTAAGTGCCACATCCAAATGAAAATATAAATCTTATTTTGTGTCTGGAGCATTTTGTAAAATATCATTCTTGTATTTTATATAAATCGTAATATTAGTAAATTTAAATTGGTAGAAGAAAAGCATGCATAGACGAAGAAATCTCTCAAGTCACTTCAGTCTGAAAATATTATATAGCATTTACATGTCTCCTTAATCTTAGAATATTGATCTTTTTTTTTCTACAGGAGAAATGTTATGCAAACTGGCATACCTTAGCTTTCTTGAAGATTTCAGTTAATGAGCTACTTACCTAAATGATCATCTTAAGAGACACAAATCAGTTGCTAAACCCCGACTTTCCAAGTTATTTATAATGATAAATTCAACCGCTGTGAATTATAATGTACAATAAACACATCTGATGGAAATCAGCTGTAAAATCAGAATGATAAGCAATATTCTTTCCTTTCCCTACATAGACACTTGTTTTCTATCATTATAATTCCTCTAATGAAAGGGGTGTGGAGGCAGGCTGACGCTTATCTCCTGTGCTGCACTGTGGTCCATGTGGAATAGTTATAAATGAATACACTAGTGAATCGTTTCAAGGGGCAAAAAATCCTCTTCCTTTATCTGGGAAGAACTAGATCCATTTCTTCCACCTCTTTTCCTGATAATTTGTTTTGGACTAACAGCAAATTTAGAAATAGGAGTAAAAAGAGATGCTCTGCTCTACAACAATTTAACCCACTTAAAAGGAACATGGGAAGCAGCTCAGTCTACTGATGTTTTTTCCAATAGGTATCACCCTGGAGTGAGGAGAATACAGATACTGTGCATCAAAAGATTAAAAACAGATCTTGGAACTCAGTTTTAGAGGCTAATCCTCCCGGCATCTCTTTTAATAGTGCCGTAAATAAATTGCCTTAGTAGACATTTTTCTGTTTTGTTATTGTCCTGCAAAATTGCAATCTTGGTAACAGGCAGATCCCCTCTGTGACTTGGCTCTGATTAATGAAAGATGGGAATTTATTTTTCTTTTATGACATTACATTAATGTAATTTTGAGCTAAACAGTAGATTTTGAGCTAAACATACATATGCAATTTAGGGTTTTACATCAACTGGAGATAAACAAAGCCAAGTGCCTGTATTGCCAACACTATTATTTTTATGTGCTCTATTAATTATCTATCCTCACATATAGGGGAATTCTTTTGGTGACTTAGTCATGTGACAAGTCATGTTGTACCCCATCATTTCCATAGGGCTTAAATAATGATTGAAGAGAACTGTTTGGTTACTTATTACTAACTTCTTTTATTACTATGGGCTCCCTTCAATAAAACAACAATAGGGAGCAAACGACAAGCTCAGGCTTTCTCACTGAAGTGTTTGCTCCTACTGGTAACTGAGAAAGTCCAAAGGGTATAGGATGCACTCTGTTTTCAATGATCCTCTCTGACAGATACCTTTTAGTCAGTATGCTATGAGTCCTTGGTGTCGGAGGAAATTGACTTTTCCTATACCTATGGGAAATAAGAAGTCAAGACATCTAGGAGTGGGCTGTGGAGCTCTCATTGTCTAAGTTATGGTTATATGGATCTAGTCTCTTAAGAAATTAATTTGTTTTACAAAGGCTGTTGCATAATCATTTCATAGAAACATTTTGACTTACCCATGCAGCTGGTTGGATTTAAGGTGGCACCATGAAAAGGAAAAAGTCCTATTAAAAACCCTACAAAGTAGGAAATTAAATGTAGCTGGCTGTGCAAGACCATGTAAAATTACGTAAGAGTCAGCAAATATTAATATCATAATAATATCATAGAATCACAGAATGATGGAATGGTTGAGGTTGAAAGGATATATTCTGGCCCATCATCCAGATCATTAATGAAGGTGCTGAAGAGGAGGAATGGACTTATTAGTGACCCTTAGGGTACACCCCTAGTTTCTGGCCTCCAGCTAGACTTTTTACCAATAATCACCACCCTATGGGCCTGGCCAGTTTTCAATCTGCTCCATTCATCCAGTTTTCAATCCACTTCATGATCTTTTCATCCAGTCCCATACTTCTTTATTTTCCTTGTGAAAATCTTATGAGAGTATGAGAGACAGTGTTAAAAGCCCTACTGAAGTCTAGGTAGACAGTAACCACTGCTCTACTCTTGTCTATCAGGCCAGTCACTTCATCATAGAAGTTTATAAACTTTATACTTTGTCTAATGGAAACAGATTAGTCAAAAAGTCCTTACAGGTAGACATAATCTTTTTCCAAATTTAGTCTTTCAATGCAGTAGTGTGGAAGTAGTAAATAATGAAGATGATCAAAAAATCTGCAGAAGACTTGTAGAACATTGTGTCTTATGTTTATCCAGTGTTTTCCCCCTTGCTGAATGGGTATTAATGCATTGTAGAGGACAGAGAGTGCACAGTGTGGAAACATGAATGAGTTAATGATTTAAAGAAAACCATACACTTTGCAATATTTATAGATTTTGAGAGCTCAGTTTTTCCATTTGAACACTGCACTAACGCATTTTTTTATCTAGCAGTTTAAAATACTCCCATTTTGGAGTGAGGATTTCTTTGTGAGGTTCCTAGAAGGGACTTGCTTGATGTTCCTCCTCTTTCCCTGTCCTCCTTCATCTGGTACCTGAGAGACCATGAAATTTGGACACCATGCGTGACGTAGTCCACCAAAACATGAGCTACAGGGATTAAGGCAGGATACAGGCAGCAGTTCAGGACTCTGAAATTTGCTGTCAGTTTTGTACAAAGCATGAGAGGAAGGTGACATTGTTAATGGTGCTCACTGGTGGCAAAATGAACAGACAAAAGTTTACTGGTGAATCAGAGACTTTCACCATGCTGGAGTAATTGCTTTGCACAAGTTTTTGGGGAAGTTAAGACTTATGAAGTCACCCACAGGGGAATAATTCGTTTTGCAAAAAGTAGCCAGATGGGAGTTGTTTAATAAGATCGCTAATTAAATGTGTTGATAAGGAATTTAACAACACCCTTTGTGCATCATTTGCATTATGATACTTTGAGATCACAGTACTGTATATTCTGTTTCGCCAGACCTAACTCATAATCTGATTGGGTAGCAGCAAGCGGTATTTTTCTCGTGCTGTCCTTATTTATCCATGTGTTGGGTTCAAATAGAGTCCTTGTGGCCTCATTAACGTATCTCATTTGTACATCCCCCTCACAGTGAGAAATAACTTCGTGTAGTCTTTGATTAGAGCTAATGAGAGAAAGTAACATGGGACTTCATTACAGTCACTCTGATAGAGAAGTCTCTCTGTAAATAGAAAGCAAGGAGGCTCTTCGGGAAAGTGCCACCTTTAGGTAATAGGACACTAGAGGAAAAAGTTATTTCTGAAACTTTCTGAGATGGGCTGTGCACAAAGCTGGTTTATGTTGTAGGTTATTAAGAACAAGGAGTCCTGTCTTCTACCTATAGATGAAGGTCACCAGGAATCTCTGTGTGGAAACTCCTTCTCAATTCTGCAGAGAATAAATATTGGTTACATCTTGGCTAGACTAGCTTGCCAGAGAGTTGTTGATCTACACACTGAAAATTGCTTCTACTATTTCCATTTACACTCAATAGATTGTGGTGATCTTGTGCAGCCACAATGTTTGGTTGCCTTCTCGACTGGTTTTGGCTGATATAGGGTTAATTTTCTTTATAGTGGTTTGTTTGGTGTTATGTTTGGGATTTGTGATGAAAAAGTGTTGATAAACATGCAATCTCCATGTTAGCTAAGACTGAGCACTGCTTACACAGTGTTAATGTCTTCTCTGTGAGTAGCCTGAGAGTGCACAAGAGTTTGGGAGAAGGCACAGATGGGAGATCTGATCCCAGCTGACCAAAGAGAAACTCCACAGCGTTTGATGTTATGTTCAGCAATAAAACCTTGGGAGAAGGAAGAACTAGGATGTTGGGAGTTATAGTGTTAGTCTTTCCAATTAACCAACCCTGTTTTCCTCTGGGTTGGAAGATCGCTGAAGATGTGCTTGCAGATAAGAAGTAGAGATTAATTCCTTAATTTGCTTTGCTTGCATGTGCGGCTTTTTCTCTACCTATTGAACTGTCTTTATCTAACCCACAATTGTTATCACTTAAGCAGTGGGGTTCTGGTTTCTATAGTTTTCTAATTAGGTTTGCACTAGGTCTAGAGACATACTCTATTTGAACTTCCATCTATCCTGCAAGCAAGTTGGGATCCCATTCACTCAAAAACTTCTACAACCAAAAAACAATGCCAGAGAGGTTCCAGAATAAGTGATAAAGTGACCAGCTGTGAACTCTGATAGAGCTGGAATTCTCTGGAAACTCAGTAATGTTTCCCAATTTTCAGGGAGATAGTCAATGGACAAAGGGAAATAAACAAATTCATTGACTTCCTGAAGGGACGATGTCAGTATGTGCTGAACTTACTAAATATACAGTAAAAAGTCTCAGAAGGGCAAAATTTGTCATAGACAATCTATCTTTTCTTCAATCTATAATATATTCTTCAATCTATAACACCAGAAGAAAGGAGGTATCACCTGGCAGCGCTTCTGAAACTGTTATTTTAACT